TTGATCACACCACATAGGCTGGTTATGCAAACTACTGGCAGTTCATAAGGAGACACAGCCAATTGTCATACATGCACTTTCTATTTGCAAATTCACCCACTTGATAAAATTTATTTGTAAACTCAAAATCAACACTCATAGAACTTTCACAGTCATCCACAAACATGCTCAGAGTGGTGAAAATTTTCAGTCTGCCTATATTCACACACTCAGCCAAGGCAACATTCTATCTTCTTATTTCAGCTTTCATACAGTGAAAAGACGTCCTTTCCAGACTATTTGGTGTTATGTTTTTCATATTTCTGTGCATTTTTCTTAGTGACCTCACTATTTTAAATGCCCCCAATTATGCTTTCTGGCCTCCACAAGCCCAAGAAGACTATGGTATACCTTATAGAAAAAAAATACATATGCTAAATAAATTTTATTCAGGCAGAACTTATCTTTTATTACTCTTCATTTCTCCTAAAAGCAATCTTCAGTATTCACTAACTTAGTGTGTGCTATGAGTTGATAGACCATTATCAAATAGTGAAAAGTGACTATGAATTCACAAACTGAGAGTAAGTATTTAGGAACACTGGGCAATTTGACATTTCCACAATATCCAAATATGTGCTCATGTTTCTTGATCATTTTATTTATTTTTAAAGATATCTATCCATGTCAGACTGGAAATTTTTTAAAAATAATAAAATAAAAATGGTCCTTCATCATTGGTAATTTAAGAAACAATGACCAGAGGACATACTGCAGAAAGTGCAGCTATCAACAGGGCACACAGATATTAACTGTTAGTACTAACCTAAACAAAAGAGATATAGGCAAGAATTAAGTTGGTGACAAGAAATATTTGAATTAAATCAAACAAATGTGGAAACAAAGGAAAGAGTAAAGGATGATACTTGTTTCTACCTTGGGCAGGGGGTAGATAGTGATGTCATTCTCAAAAATATAATCAGCCTTGGGAAGGGAAATCATGAATTCAGTTCTGCAAATATGTTTATGGAACAACTAAGCAGAGGCAATTAGTAGTTGTCAAAATAATCATCATTAATCTGGAATATTACCCCAAGGTAAGATCAAATGATTAAATTATGGAGTAAGAGAGAAATAACAGATAACATCTTGCAGCCATGAATATCTTCTGTAAAACAGAAATGCATTCACTGCCTCTTAGGGTTACTAAAGGAAATTCAAACCACTATTCTGGAGAAACTTCCAGTTTATAAACACCACTGTTATCACAGGCTGGAAAGCATATCTGGCAATAAAGAGATGAAACTAACAGTCTTGTTGAATCAGAAAGGAAATTCATTAATACTACTATTTATGATTAAGTACCATGGGCCCAATATTGAATTATTACATAGGTGAACTCAATTTACTTCACAACAATCCTTAAGACAGACATCATAATCCCCCTCATTTACAGATTTAAAAAAACTGAAGCAGATACAGGTTGAGTATTCCTTATCCAAAACAGTGGGGATCAGAAGTGCTTCAAACTTTTGAATTTTGGAATATTTACATACGTATAATAACATATCTTGGGAATGGGACCCAAATCTAAACAAGAAATTCATTTATGTTCCATATACACCTTGGAGCATTTCACATTTCAGAGTCTCCAAATAGGGATGCTTAACCTACAATAGTAAATAACTAGCCTGAAGTCACCCTAGGAATTAGTACAAACACAGGTGCCTCTTATACAACTTAGCAAACATGGGAATTTGTTTCTAGAAACAATATATGGGTTTTAGGGGAGGAAGAGAATGATAGATAATAGAAGAGTGGACTGAGGGAAACAATGGCTATAAACGTTACAAGGAATGCTATAGAAATCTGACCTCAAAAAATACCCTTAGTAATGGAACATCCTTGAGTGGGGGAAAAAGCTTGTCCCAGTATCAAGGACTCCTTGCTCCCAGTCATTTCTTTCTTCAGATATTATGACCCTATCCCTTTCACTTTCCAAATAGCTTTTTTTGATCATTTTTATATTCCTGATTCTTCAACCACACCAGCGTAGTGGCCCAGAGTGCAGAATTAGAAACCAACTTCAATAACAGTTTTGTCATTTATCAACTTGCTTGTCAATTTATATATTCAGTGAGCAAAATACAACCCTCTCTGTGCATTGGTTTCTTATATTACAAAATGAGGACATTAGTTATCTACCTTATAGGGTTATTGTTGGTATTAACTGAAGTGACATATAAGTCAGAACAGTACTTAACAAAGGAAAACTCAAAAAAAATTATTATTATCTAATTCTCTAATAGTACAGTATACTCAAAATTAACAGTGCTTTGAGTTTAAGTTGGTTGTTGGAAAATTGAATTCTTTCTAAGAAACATTTCAAGTAGGGCCTTTTCTATCTTCTCTATCCTGTCCCAGTGCAGGCCCCAACAGGGAGTTATGTAATTGCCTGATTGTTCAGGCACTCTACAGCAGTCACCATACAGCCAGCAGTAATATTTATAAATGTCTGTCACTCTCTTGCTTAAAAGTTCTCAATAGCTCCCTGTCACTTAAAAATATAATCTCCATATATCACACAAGGTCCTCTACAATCTTACTTTAATCTCTGTTCCAGTTTCACCTCTAGTTACTTCTCCAAAGAGCTGAAGCCACAGCAAATAATTCACTTTGTCCAACACAAGACAATGAATTTTAAGAGACTGCACACCAGCCAGCTATGATGGCACATGCCTGTGATCCCAGCAACTCAGGAGACTGAGGCAGAAAGATTGCAAATTTGAAGCCAGCCTGGGCAATTTATCAAGACTCAAAATAAAAAATGAAAAGGGCTGGAGATGTAGTTTAGTGGTAAAGAGCCCTAGTTTTGATCTCCAGTACCAGAAAGGAGAAAAACAAAAACAAACAAGGATGAATGACAATGACAATGCATGGGCTTCTCCTTATGTCTGAGAAAATTTTTCTTTTATAATTGTCCAAGCCTAGAAAATAATTTATCTTCATAAAGCCTAGATGAAATGTCACTTTTGTATTTTATTCAACACAAAAATTTACTAATAGCCAAAATATTCAAGAAAGACCCCTTGAAAGTAAAGATAAACAAGACATACATCATCATTTGGAAAATGTGCATCTACAAGGACAGATACATGTTAAAAGATAATAAACATACTATGAATAAAAGGTATAATAAAAAAACTTGATGCCTAGATTGGGTTCTACAGAATATGGACTTCTGTTTCCATCCTTAACATTTTTTAATTGGATCACGGTCTGGATAACTTCATTCTAATAATACTTATTATTAAATTAAATAATACTGTACCATAACAAATTAATAACACATTGTATTACAATGTGTTTAATAGCTGTCTTCCCTGAAATTGCAATTCTAAGACAGGAATTTATTCAATCTTTGTATCCTCAACACCTAGAGGAGTACATAACAGACCACAATTGCTCATTGAACTGAACTGGATAATTAGGTTTCCATACTAGCAGGACACCTTCTTTAACTCATGTTAACTGATGTACAAAATAACAGCAAGAGAATCTTAGAACCAAATTAGTATTATAATAATGTACTGAGAATAACAGTTCCCACTTGGAATTATCTAGTACTTGTATACATTAGTCCAATTTCCACCCAAATTTAAAAACAGTACTTACATTTTGTTCCAAACATAATAGTATTTGTTTCCTGGACAATATCTGAACCAGTCTTTGAGTTCAAAAAGCATCAAATTGTTCTCCTAAACTTCCTTGACAGGGTATAAGGACTCTTAATTACCTAGTGACTGCAATAGCATATGACAGTTTCTTCTTGATCCTGAAGTCCAGATTCATTCATTTACTTAAATACTTATGATAGACACACTATGCAAAAGGCACTGTTCTAGGCGATGGGAACAGATCAGTCTATAATTTTATGGAATTCACATTCCAGTTTAGAGAGATACACCACAAATATGTCTGATGGTTTTAAAATTGCTGAGGGGAAAAGAAGGGGGGGCAGGGTAGTAAATAAAAAAGCAAGGTAAGGAAACAAAAGAGTGGAGATGATGCATTAGAAACAAGGTTAGGGTCAAGAGTCTTTTATAAAGCAATGAATCAGAGATTAAACAAATGAGTTGAGACACACACAAGTATCTGTAGAGTATTCTAGGCAGTAAAACCACCAAGTGCAGAAAGCCTGATGCGGGAGCACATCTGACGTGATAAACAAACCAAGAATACCAGTTTGTCTAGGTAAGTAGTTAGTGAGTAGCAGAGTGACAGAAAGAACCTCAGCCAGATGATGCAGTATAAAGATTCTGGATGTTACTCTGAGATGGGAGGCAACTAGGTCATCTTAAGCAAATAAATGACATTATCAGACATACATTATTTAAAATACCTGTTAGTTTTGTTTGTATCCTCTAGTACAAACAAGCAGTAACTGTTTAGCATAAGTCAGGACAGTGTGCAATTCCCTGTAACCTACAAGGACACATCATGGTTGAAGGTCAAAATAAATCCTACCTTCTTTTCATCATCAAGCGTCTCTGAGACATAGCTATCAAATGCTACTTTTATTTAACCCACGTGTACCACAAACTCTGCTTTCATTCTCTATTTGAGTCCTTAACTCCGAAACAGCAGTATTCACCTAATGCACAATAGTCAAGAATACATCCTCCTTCCTCTTACTTCTTTCTGGCTTCTTGCTTCTCGCTTTCTGAAATTTATTCCACTCAGGTAATTTCAAATATCTCCCTTCTTTCACGCTTTGTTAAATTTCTCAATAACTGCAGCTGTTTCACCACCTTTAATATCGGTGGTACTAAAAAAAATTAGTAAACAATACTCAAAATTACAGATTAGAGCAAGCCTTCTCACTGGGCCAAACTCTTCCAACCCAGGTCACGCCGTGATGAAACACTGGCGGCTTCCACCAAGCACACTGACATCGGGCTTCCCGGGAACTGAGCCTAGTGTTTCCTCTCAGACGCCGAAGCTCAGCCTTAATACATTACCTTCACTGTCGGAAGCGTCTTTGCCCTCATCTTCCAGCTTCGATGTCACAGCCCTGGCTACCATTTTCATCTTCTTTTTTCTCTTTAAGGAATTTTTCAGCTTTTTCCCCGCACTCACACGTGAGTTTTGAACGGCCGCGGCCATTTTCCCTTACCGGAAGCGTAACTTCAGAGTTGCGTCGGGTGGCAACGAAGGGAACTTCCGCGCCTAGTTCCGGTAACACAAGGTTCCGGAAGCGGTGGTTCTGCACAAAATTCCAGGGTTGGGTCTCATAATATAGGTAGAGAGACGTCTGAATTTCCAGGACTTAAAATGAAGTCGGTTCCTAAACTAAAGTCAATGGATGTACGGTATCGGCTGACTCTCTGGCAGTTTGCCCTGGACTGGTGCACTGCCCGGTCCGGCGGCAGCTCCACCCCGACCCCTTTCATTTCCATTCCCCTGGCCGCTTCCTTCATCTGCTGCCTCGTTTAATGTAAATTTGGGGTGCTCCACAGCGGTCCCCGTGTGTCCACTGAACGTCCCTTTCGCGGGTCGGTAGTCAGATATAATATTCCCCACCCCCACCCCAGCCACCAGATTCTCAGCACGACAAGCGAGAAAGTTTATCAGATAGTCTTCAGGTTAACCTTTCAAGCGGCTTCCAACTGCAAACTGAATAGAACCTCACTTCCGCGGGCTACCAGGTGTTAGAGGACTCAGCTGCACCCGCCCCCCACCCAACCTGAAGCTTGCTGCGCGCATCCCAGCGCCCCCCGCCCAGGCTAGTTTTCTCCGCCTTCTGCCTCCCGTGCACTCAGCCCCGCCTGCCTTCTGTGCAGCACCTCACAACTGCACCTATTTTTCCCTTAGAGATAGGAACCATCTCATTCAATGTTGTAATCCCAAGGCTAGCAATGGGACTTTCCCTGTAGTAGTAGCTCAAAATATATATAATATTGGGGGGGGGGGGAATGAATGAATGTCAAAAATACAGGGTTAATGAAATCAGACAATAAAGCAAACCTTTATATTTGTTTTACAGGCCAAACATGTTCTAATGTTTTTCCCTAATTTAGTGTTTTTCAAATAAATTTTTGATTTTTAATATAAAAATTTCTGTGAGGAAAGGAAGGGAGGAAGGAGACAAAGGAAGTATGAATCTTCATTTTGACATATTTTGATGGATTTTTATATAGGAAATATGTATTTACATCCTAAAAACTCAACATTAAAAAAAATACAATCTGGAGGAAATGGCATTCCTCTAAAATAAAAAAATAGTTACCTCTAAAATAAAAAAAAAAAAAGTGCAGGAAAAATGCCATTCCAAATATAGATGGTAAGAGATCAGATTATAGAATAAATCTGAGAAGTGCAATTACTGTCAACAGAAGGGTGTATCTTAGAGGATATTGCTCATACTGAGAAGCTCTGCCGTCCTGCTTAGTGTGATGCTTTCCTTCGCGCTGCCTGATGCCGAACCTACTTCCTGCAGTCTTTCATATTTAGCTGTTGCTTTGCCTAGTGTTATACAAGTTCCAAACACAGTTGAGAAAGCACTGAATAAAATTGTACAGAGTGAAAGACAATATATATATATATATATATATATATATATATATGCATATATATATATATACACACAATGTATATATATAATGTATATATACATTATATATATATACAATGAAAAAGATGTTACTGAATATAAAACATAGTTCCTGAATTAATGTGCTAATATTTGCCATCAGGAAGTGATTTTACATCTCAATAGAGTAATTTGTAAGTAATTTTGCTGAGTTTAGTTGCTGTTTAGGAGATTATGGTGAGTGATGTTGATTTATTACATATTCAAAGTTTTCCTTTTTAAAATAATATAAAATATGCTCCAGGTTTTTAACCCAGAAATCTGATTTTTCAGAAATGGATTACTACTGTTAAGTGAAAGGTACCTGTATTAATTTAATCTTCACAATAAGTCAGTGAGCTATTAGTGTTCCCATTTTATAGATGAAGAAACTGAGCCTCAGGTAAGAATACATAACTGTTCAAGGACACACAGCCAGTAAGCAGCAGAATCATATTTGAATCTCAGCCCTCTGCTTTGAAGTCGGCTCAACTATTAAGCTAAACTACCTACTTAGAATGTCCTAGAAAATGCATAATAAAAAATTAAGCAATAAAAATTTCTATTAAGCACTTGTATTCATTAATTAGAAAACACATCCCAGCCCTTACAATGATTCAAAATAAGTGACAAGATTCAAATAGAGTGCATACTTCATGATGGAAATTACTGAAGTTGCTTAGATGCTTTTATGAGAACCTTATGATGAAAACCTATGCTAGTTATCATCTTATTACCTCTCAGCTCCAAATTCACCCTTTTTGGCTGCTTGGTGAAAATATAGCTGGGCTCTTTAAATACTTTTTCTCTACCGACCAGCCAAATGTTAAGCTTTGTCAGTAGAGGGCACTAGAGTGATATTGTAAAAAGAAGGTTCCAGTGTGCTTCTCTCTGCTGGCTCCTCTCTAGCAGGAGACTCCAGCAGCTCAGATGACTTCTCCTGCAATGCCCAGTGGTCAGCAGCACTCAGGAGCCAGTAGCTTCCCCCAGCAACCCTCCTTATATAGTTCCATTGCAAAATGAGGCTGCACATCCACAGCTTTCCCCAGTACCTTAAAGAGCACTGATTTCCAGAAAGTTCTAGAAGGAGGATTTTCAACAAGTTTTGACAGGGCCGCACAACAGCCACTCCTCCAGTGAACCACAAGATCTGAATCTCAACTGTGGGTACAAGGATGGGCCACTTCCTTTAGCATTAATTTCTATACGGGGGGTAATTTGCTGTTTCTTATGTTTGCTATTACTCTATTTGTAGTTTAGTTTCCTTCTTAGCAGCCAATACATTGTTACTACATTAAAGCTAATAATATTTTATATTAACCTGCCTATTCAAATTACTAAGCAGGTTTTGTCTCCTTGTCGGTCTTGACTACTGCAAAACTAGCATGGGTGTTGTGAAGAAGATATTATCAGCACCCACAACTTCCCTCCCTGCTTACAGCACTGTTAGAAAGTTCCACATGGAGTGACTCATTTTTTGAAGGGTGATGGAGATTAAGATGAGAGTTCTCTGTAAAAATCCCAAAAATAACTGATAAAATATTTTTTTTTCTAAACGCGCTATTTGTTGCAGTTTGAATGTGTGAATGCATTAGAAGGTCTAAGCAAATGGAAATGGAAAGCATCAGGGAGAGAGAACTGCGCAATGTTTCCAGAGTGGGAGATGCTCTTCTGGGAAAGTCTGAATTCAAGGCTGGTTAGACAGGGGCTCTGAAAACAGATTCTGGTGACATGATGGTTCTTGGAGTTCTGTCCACAGAGAGGAAGGAGAGAAAAGAAAAAGCAGAGATCTCAGGACCGAAGGGAATTCGAGAGCTCCTATTTGAGAAGGAACAAGAAAGAGGGACTAGAATAGAGTTATGCATAGAACAAATGCTAAGTTCCCAAACATTAGTGAGGTAAATTTCCCCAAAGATAAGATTGTTGTTAATGTTAAACTCTACTGTGGCCTTAGAAGAAAGGGAATTCTAAACAATGTAGTAGATTCGGCACCATAACAAGAGATGGAAATGAAATGAAAGCATTTTAAAAATTAATTGATGTACCATATTCCTGAAGGACAGACCAAATAATCTAAAGATGTTTGTGTATTCCAACCAAAATTCTACTGGAATTAATTTTGGGAAAGAAGGAGCATACAGCAAGGTCTTGATAAAAAAGTTCCAAAGTTCAAGAAAAGTAAAGAATAATATTTTAATAAATAATATGGAGGCAAAATTTGCCTATTCAGCTATTCGAATGTATTCTAAAATTATAATAGTTAACATGAATAGATAAAAAATGGAAATTAACTGAATCCTAGAATATGTGAACTCTTAAAATACATAGAGAGACATTACATGTAAATGGATATGTTATGCAAATATTATTTTAGTAAAATTGACAACTTGGGGAGAGAAAGAAATTAAAATCTCACATTGTACCTTAAAATGAATTTCAGAACTAAATATGAAACAAACTGTAAGAAAAATACAGAAACATAAGTGAATACCTACATTATCTGAATCATAGAAACACTTTTACATCTCTAAAATCAGTGGTGGTGATTTTTAAAATATTAATTGGTAGATTTGATTACTTGAAAACCAAGAACTACATATCTGAGAACATAACCCAAATTAAAAGGTAAGTAGAATATGAAAGAATATAAGAGAAATGATGGAATTAAAATGATTTCATAAAAATTTGTGGGACTTCCACATCTGGTTGAGATGAAGTAACACACTGGGCATGGTGGAACACACCTATGATCCCAGCTACCCAGGAAGCTGGCTCAGGAGAATCACAAGCTTGAGGCCAGCATCTGCAGCTTAGTGAGAACCTGTCTCAAGATTTAAAAAAAAAAAAAAGCAAAGATGAGGCTTGGTGGCAGAGTGTCTCAGGTTCAATCCCCCCCCCCAACACACACACACACACACAGAGAGAGAGAGATATGGAGTAACAGTACTAAATTTACCTTTCCACACAAAACAACCAAAAATAGACAAAATATATACAAAAACAGGTTTTAAAACACTGGACTTTAGATTATGGAAGGTAAAGATCACTGAGAGATAGCAAAGCAAGCCAATTGAGTCCATAATTACCCTACCATATAGCTTTGAGAGAATTTCCAGAACACAGCACAAGGAAAGGTAACCTAACCTAAGCCTGGAAGAATTTCCAAGTTGAAAGGAATAGCTGAGAGTCAAGAGAGAATCAGACAATTAGAGTTGGCAGTACAGAGGACCAGAGGGAAGAAAGAACTCTGAATTATACAGAGATTCCCTGGAGAATTTAGGTGAGGGCTGAACAGAATGTGCCTTGAGAAAAGTACCCCAAAGCAGGGTCAGAACCATTAAAAAGGATTAGAAGCAACAACTACCTATGTAGACATGCATAACAATACCTGATAACAGCACCTGTAACCACCAGAGAGACTGAAAAATACATATGACTTACAGTGTATTGGCTTGAGTCAAAAACTGAAGGGCATGAGATTCTCCCACACTTGCAAGTAGCCTGCCAGCATTTTATGGATGCTGGAGAAAGACACAAGACTCTTAGGTGAAAGAGGAAAAATA